ATAAAGTCAACGCAATATATGGGGTTTATAGGGGGCAAACTGTTTAATGTGTCCAAAGGTTCAGTACACAAACAGGTAAATCTATCTGTATAATATTTTGAGTTTGATTTGATCAGGGCTTTTAGTCACATCTAGTCTGCTCTGTATCATTCAGCTGCAAAATCTCAACAGTTTTGCCTATTTCAACGTGTTGTATGTAATATTCTCCTTCACTAGTATTTTTAAGCAAGTATTACAACTGTACTGATGTATATTCTTTGCTAAGTACTGTTTTATATTACAACTTCGACGTTAGAATAAAATACTGTAGAATACGCGATTTCTCTGGATGAGTTGTGCGCCACCCAGTGGTGGTGGGTGTTCACTGCAGTCAGCTCTACCATGCACAGACTCTGCAACAATTTCAAACAGGAGTTGTCATGATTATCTCGATAACTCATGCAACGTTTATACACTAACAGTGTAATCGAAATCAAGTCTTATTGTTTTTTTCCCTCAATTATATGTCTTTAACACTAAAAAGTACATATTTTCGCCAAACCGGAAGAACATACATACAGCTCACGATTCTTTCCTGTGACGTAGTGCTAGCTCCCGATGCTACACGCGGGAAACAGGCGAGGCATCTCATCACACTGACAGTAAGACATGAAGTTTTCAAATCGTATTTTATTGCTTTTTTAGATCTTCCTTTTGAGATATGTGTAAGTAGCGAGGCAATTTATATCACCTACGTGCGTAATGCTGAGCTATTTTGTTTGCACATGAACTGTGAATATCACTTTATGTATTTGCACTGGCCTAGCTCTGCTGGAGCGCTCGATTTGATGTACGCTGTGTCTTTGCAGGAGCGGTGTTGTAGCGCGACACGACTGTTACTGTTAAAATGGAGCACTCACTCGAACTCATTGCAACAACGTATAAAAAGAAGCGCACCTAGTGCAGTTGAAGTTAGCCTAGCTATTGTTAGTGCCGCAGCGTGGGTTTTAGTTATCGATTTTATTCGTAAATGGTGTTACCGAAACGTTACTAAGCGGTTTGTGTCTAAAGAAAATAACAAAGTAACTATGCTCAAGATACAGCTAGCTAACAGCTAAGGCTAACTATTGGCCAGCGTTAGCTCACAACTCTGCTCTGTGCTTTAAACTGAGAGCACAGGTACGTTAGCTAGCATCAGTCGGAAATGTGATGAACGTTATCACAAAGAAAACCAAAAGCTACCAGACAGAAATACAATACTGAGTCTTGTATTTTTATTATTATTATTAATCTAAATCTGCAAAAGTAGTTCAAGGTCTCAAATAAATGTAATAGATTAAAGATGTGCAATATTTTCGTCCAAAATGTAGTGGAGAGCAAGAATAAATAAGCATAACAAGTCATTTGTCTTATCTTATTCATTTTCTTTTGTCTGTAGAGCATCAGTCGTTGCCTGTAGCCGAGATGGGGGACACACTGGAGTTCAGCGACATCTACCAGGAGCATAAAGGTTCCTGGGTCAGTATCCTCATCAATCATCACTGCTCTTTAAACTGATATATAGACAGGAACTGTACTGGGAATCGGCTCAGAATAATATCCACTCAAAGGTGGATATTGACTTATTTAAAAAAATTAAAAAAAATGCTAGCCCAGCAATGTTTTAACTCTAAATGTCTGTGCAGTAAAAATGTGTTATCCTGAGTATTGCTTGGACATAGGTAAGAATACAATTCGCTGACATTAAATTAAAGATAACGTCACAACCGTACTGTGTAAAGCAAGGGTCTGAAATGAAAAATGTGCTTTATAAGCACCGAAATTCTTACTGGGGTTTAAAGTTGATTATCTAGAATAAGGGCTCTCAATTTATGGATCTATGGTTCTGCAAAAACCTTTTTATGCTGATTTTAAAAGTACATTTATCAACTTTTGGCAAAAATGTGTTTGTGTTAAAAATAAACAATGTAATTCTTGTTAAGAAGTTTTACACAGTCTGCAATAAACAGATTTTTTTAAACAAGAATCAATTAATTTGCAGATTTATTTCATTTGATCAGTTGTCTATTAAATGTCAGAAAAAGACAAATATTAAGTTGCATTTTCTCAGAGCCCCACATTTTCATTATGCTTGTTTTTTCTGACCGACAGTCCAAATCCAAAGTTAAGTTTATTATAACTAAAGACATATAATATTTGCTTGTTAAAAAAAGACATAATTTAAATCGATCATCAAAATGTAATTTTAGTTTTTTCGCCAATCAATGGCTTTCTTTTGGGGCTTAAAATCACAGCATTTTAACCCAAGTCCTGTGTCTTCTTGTGTTTGTATCTGTATCTCTTTTGTCTCTGTAGAATGATGGGCGGTTGCGTTTCAGCAAGCAAACTGTGGTTTATAAGAGCAGCAAGACGGGGAAGGTGGACAGCATCCCGGCTGCCGAGCTCAACCTGGCCCACTGGAGGCGAGTGTGTTTAGGTCATGGCATCAAGCTGGGCACCAACTCGGGACATGTCTACAAATACGACGGCTTCAGGGACACGGTGAGAACGTTTAGAAAAAGAAAAAAAGGCAGGTTTTTTTTATAGTGTTTGATATTTAGACGTCTGTTCCGACCCTCAAGCTTGTGACCGATGCCAACTTCATTTTTCCTTTTGGGATAGATAAACAGACTCTAAATCTCCCTGGTTGTATTTTTCTCTTTCTGGGAAATAATTGTTACCTTACTCGGAGGAGAACAAGGCCGTAGTGGAATATTACATTCAGACACACACTGCTGGTTTGTTTAGCGCTGTGTTTATGACAAGGGATGTAACAAAAGCCGATAAACAACTTCCTTCCCGTGTCTTGACATTTCCATGGAAAAATGCTACCATCTTGCAAAAAGGCTGCCACTTGTGTATGTGTGTGTGTGTGTGTCTTGTTATCAAAAGTATGTGAATGATTGGCCCTTTACTCCAAAGCTCCTAATGGGATTAATGAGGGAAACCAGCGCTAGCATGTGTGTTCTATAAACATTGTAATCATCGGCTCATGTGAGTCAGTGTTTATATCAATCCATTTAAACAATTTGGCTCAGAAGACAGACGTGAACAAAAATGTGGTTGTGTTTGTTTTTTATCACCCTCAGTTTTTGTATTTCCCCTGCTGCTCTGAGTGTATGGGGAATGTCAGCACGCAAGTGAAATACTGGCATGGAGGAGCGGGTATAGCCTGCAGTCTGGCTGCGAGCGGTGGGGTCTCCTGGGGTTAATCAGCGTACTTCTTTGGAGATGGATCCTCTTGTCCCTGAGCGAAGGGCGTGATGTCATTGTTTATTATCCCACAGCCAGTGTCAGTAATCGAGAGTTGGCTG